CATCGCTCTCTTACCAGAAAAACAGCCACTGTGCTAATCAGGCATCACTAGTTATAGTCTTAGGATGTGTTTGGTTGCGACAAAATTTAAATACTACAAGTGCCGATAGGTCCGAGGTATGACAATGATGCACCTATACACTTTATATTCACTACCGGAATGCACATGTTTGCCGTGTGCCCACGGCACACGGCGAAGGCAAAAAAACACTCGGCAAAGCATTTGCCAAGTGTTGCACTCGGCAAACACAGACTCGGCAAAGCTGTCTTTTCCGAGTGTTTTTGTCAAGCACTCGGCAAAGACGTTACCGAGTGCTAAACCCGACACTCGGCAAAAAATCTGAAAACATGTAATTTTAATCAGAAGTAGCACATGGTTCAATATATAAACACATGATTTAGGACTGCATGATCAGAAAAAATGTACTAGCAATTTAAGTGTCATTCCTTAGGCAACAATGTCTTCCTAAATAGGCAATTTATGTATTCTGGAAAAGCAAGTATAGTGTCTATGTTCATTTGCATTCCACAGCCCCACCCTCACCCCACCCCTGATTCATTGTCACTATTATCAAGTCGTCCAACTAAAATGCATCTAATCACAGATTAGTAGTCCTAGTTGGATGGCATTTTTGACTAGTAAGGAAAGGCTAAATTACCTATTCAGGGGCACATTGTTGCCTAACAAATGGCACTTAAAAAAAGGCGTACCCAGTGCAGAGAGCTCCCGCTCTGTGCGGGGTCTGAGGAAGGGTGTCAATGGCAAGCCTTACCCTCGCCTGTGCAATGCGAGGAGACCGCGACTCGAACCCGGGACCTTCCGGTCACAGGCGGTAAGACTCCGGATTGCTCACCTTCACGTGCTATCATCCGCCTTTTCGCTGGACCATGGATGTTGATGCTCGCTGGTAGAGATCACCCCACCGCTTGCAGCCGCAGCTCCACCCGGAATGTGGCTCCGCCCGCCTTAGCTTTGCCCGGCATTTGGCAAAGGAGGAGGTACCGAGGACAATGATTATCCATTCCGAACAGTTGGAATGAAACACAGACTGCATAGGAATGATCTTGTTCAATTGATAAAGCCCAAGGGCATACCACTGATCTTCGATTGATGAAGCCTGGCACAGACAAACAGACGACTATTCCTATAAAGAAATACATGTAAACAAAAGGCTAAATTGCATGCAAGGAATCATCATATAGGTGTCAAAAATATAGATCTGAATGAGCTACCTCCAGATTTGCAACAAAAGGCTAAATTGCCTAATTAGGAGCACATTGTTGCCTAACAAATGCCAATTAAATTGCCTAACAAATGACACTTAATTTGCCTAAGAAAATGGTTATGTTTCTCTTTATGTGTGTGTGATCATACCTCGTTGCCGCCATTGGATGCTGGCGCACACACTCCATGAAACCTCTCCCCTCTAGGCATTGTATGAAGAACTATCCCTGTAAATGCATGCACAAAAAAGAGCTGATGTCATTACATTTGTATATAGCAGGAAGCAAAAACATTACAGTTAAAATGCCTACAATATACGAACACAACAAAGGGCAACTAGCTCAATCAAGTACGACATCCAGTGTTTCCATGTATGCTTACAAATCAGAAACTCACATGAAGAAAATATGGGTAATCAGCCTGCACGGCTACAATTATTTGGTTGTGGCTGCAGCTTATTGCAGTTATACCTACAGTATAGTCTAGTTTACTTTTGCAGCCAAAATAGCAGTAGCCGGCCGCAAGAAGCTGTATTTTCTTAGGCAATTTAAGTGTCATTCATTAGGCAATAATGTCTTCTTAAATAGGTAATTTTTGTATTTTGAAAAAGCAAGTATAGCGTCTGTGTCATTTGCAACCCACAGCCCCCCAGATGACTCACTCATTGATCAAGCTTCCAGTTCAATATGGCAGTTGTAGGTTAAAACCGGCAGTGATATACTTATTATAGAAACAAAAAAAATGCTCTGCATGATCTATAGTACAGGGCACATACATACGTACATCACCTCTCTCTGGTATTAATCGCAATTAGTTCAAAAAAAGCAATCAAAAGTGAAATGGAATAGTAACAATAGCAACAAGTATTGTATAACTAAATTCGCAAGTAAACAGATAAATTCATCCATCAATCAGAAAAGAATGTGCAGATCCATACATAGGGTCGATGCATAGGGCCTCTAACTAATAACTAGTACTATATCATTACTGCTTATGCTAGTGATGTACAGAGCCTAAAGAGATAAACTAGCAGCTGCACTTTTCACCTGAGAATTCAAGCCACGCAATTTAATACCTTGTTGTTGCTACACTTGTCGCTGAACAGCTGCTAGCTACTGTTGTCGTCCACAATAGAAAAAGCCAAGCTCGAGCTGTTGCGGCTGAAAAAGACAGTAGAGAAACCCATCAAAAAAGAACATAGTGTTGCTGAAACTGCAAAGTTGCACTAAAATGCCTTTCCTTTCGAACTGATATTGCTGAACAGAGATAAGCCACTCACATTACTACCCTGCAGTTGCAGTGCTTTGGTGCTGCACTTGCCAACGGGATTCGCCAGCCCCGCACTTGCTGTTGTGATGCCGCACTTGCAGTCTCCATAGAAGTGTTAACGTAACTTAATTATTATGTGACGTAAACCAAAACTGATAGCAAGTAGAATGCCATGCTAATTAACCGAAAAGCAAGGAAAAAAATAAAAACAAAGAATGCGAGATAACTGATTACTCAAATCATGCATGAGCTAGCATGGACACCTTGTAACTAGCTTCATCTAATTCATTAACTACGTACTGCACTACTGAGTTGCAACTTGCGAGTACTTGGTTCTGCAGCCGATTGCACTTGTCATTCAACAAACTAGACTAGATAAGTATGGAACAATTCAACAACCGATAAACTTCAGGCTGCGCTAAAATAGTACATGATACAGTTGTGTATACAGCAAAAACAGTATCATTTGTTCATCTGAAACTTGGTTCAAAAACATATTCTGTGATCCACCAAATTAATCAAGCTATAAGGCACAACAGACAATCCACAAAATGCTCTGCCTACTACAATTCAATCGACATCTAGTAGACTATCTAAGTATTTTTGGTGCTTTTCAATTAGCCTGATAAGCTGAATCCCTAGTAAAATTTTACGAAACCCTAGTCAAATTTTACACATTACAATTCCAGATCTGTGCTGATCCAAAGCATTCCCCATCAAATCAATCGTTCATTCTACTATGTACGCATGGAGTTATCAGATTTTTAGCAAAAGAAAAAGGAGAGGGAGGGGGTACCATACCTGCTCATGCTGAGCTATGCTCGTGCGGAGGCAAGGCAGGCGTCTGACGCACTTGTGCTCCAGCTTGGTCATTGGTCGTAGTCCCGGGCAACGCGTGTGCGTGGATATGATGACTACCTTCTACCTGATCAAGTTCAGGCAGCAGATTACCTAACAAAAGTGACAGCATGGATATGATGCAATTTGCTAAACCTATAGAGCACAGTATGGATCAAGGCAGGACTAGCAACAGGCATCTAAGCTCCCATAGGACCCTGGATCCGTTTCAGGGTAAGAACTCACAAGGGGAAATCGAATCAAATAGAACCCTAAGCCCCTGTTTATCCCAAATCCGAACCCTAGCAACAATAATTCCCCAAATCCCGAGCAATCCCCAATCCAAAGCATAAGAATACCTACCCTTAAGTCGACGACGATCTCGCCTTGGCCCTGGTGGTCCTGCCCGAGCTCGCCGCCGGAACAGAAAGGGAGCCGCGCCGCCACTTCGTCTTAGCCCGTGCGCGCGCGGACTCCGCCCTAAGGGCACCGCCGTGAGACCATTCGACGGAGCTGCGTGACGGCCTCCTGGCCGCTGATCCGGTCGCCGCGGTCCAGATCCGCGCCGCGGAAGTAGGCGTCGAAGGCCACCTCCATCGGCCCCCGAGCGGAGGGCGGGGGCAGGCGGCTGGGAGAAAGGGAGGGTGTCGCCAGCGGCGAGGGCCTCCGGTCGTTGAGATCGGCGGGGCATGGGTCGGCGTTCGGTGAGCCTTCGGTCGTCGAGACCGGAGGGAGAGAGAGGAGAAAGGAAGAAATGGATGGGGAATGAAAGGATGAGGAGGAGGGGAGGTGGGACCCATCACAGGCCGAGCGAGTGAGCGGTGCGCTTTCTCTCTTCGGATCCTGCGTAGATGGACGCGTGCGTGCGGTTGGATTGGATAAACGTATGGCCGGCCAGAGGAAGTCTTTCGGACTGTTTATGGCCAAAATAAGCTGAAATCAACAGCCAAACGTTACATTTTTTAGCAGCTTATTCTGATCACGTTTATTTTCGCAGCTTCTATTTATATAAAAAAATAGAAGCTGGATCAGACCAGCTTATTTTAATCGCCGCTTTTACTCTATTTGTGCAGCTTATCTGAAAAGCGCTTCCCAGATAAGTTGTATCAAATAGGGCTTTTTACCTTCTTCTTTCTATAGTAAGACAATTATAGAATTATGGTTTGAATTGACACAAGATGTACCAATCTAATCTTGAAGCAAGATCAAAGAATCAAGTCATCGTCTGAACTAAAGACGCACGAGTGTTTTAAAAAGTCTACTAGTAGTGTCTAGCTACCATTTGAAAACCGAGAGAGACGCCCTTTACGCTATCTCCAACAACAATACCCAAAATACAAGACATATTCATTTTTTGGGTAGCACTACAGGCAAAAAGTTTAATACCTATTCGGCATCTTCTCCAACGACAAGACCCAAAAGAGAATCCTTTCTACAAATGGGTTTTCAGGAGAGAGGATGCCCATATTTGGATTGTGCCTCTCAGACAACCTAAAATAGGTTTCTCGTATAGATACTCTGTTGGAGGCTAATTTTAGATCTCTTGCTACTTATTTTGGGTTTTCCTCGTGTGAGACCGTCTTACTACAGATTCTCCGCGATCCGCCCAAGAGACGCATCAGAGAAACCGAAAAGGAACAGAGCCCCCGGCCGGCGGCGGCGAGCGAGCAATGGCAGCGACCCTGGCCCGCGCCTCCTTCTCTGCCGCCCTCCGATCCCTTGCCAGCAGGTAGGCTACGGGCTATGCACGCGTTCTTGTTGTACTGGATTGATTGAGGGCGACGTCACTGCCCCTGCTGCTCACCCTTGCGTTTGTGCGACGATCCGTATGTAGGCCGTGGCGGCACAGCGCTGCAGGAGCTGCTCTCTGCCGGTTCGACGCCGCGGCGAGTGCGACTACGTTCAGTGCCGGTGCGCGTGGCGTACGAACTGAAGCAGGCTGGCCACCGCTACCTCGACGTCAGGTAGTATAAACACGCCACGCTACTGGCCACCGTCAGAGTAGAGAGTACGGTGACAATTGACAGCAGGATATATATATACTACTGATCGAACAGCAAATTAATTAGCACTCCGTATATAGATCTGCTGCCCGTAAACAACAACTACGATTAAATCGAACAACTTTTGTTCTCATGTTCGATTTGATTTTAATCGTTGTGGTCTCGCCTTTCATGTTTACTACTACTGCTCCTGCAGAACTGAATCTGAGCTCAGTGCCGGCCATCCGGAGAGAGCTGTGAACATCCCCTACCTGTTCAGAGCCGGCTCAGGTAATGCATTCCATTCCAACCTCTAACAACATTGTTCTAATTATTAGCTAGCGTGTGTCGGTTCAGCTCTTGTGATGATTGCCATGACCATGAGGGTAACCTGTCGGTCTACTCATGGTTCTCACTTGTCAAAGCCCATTAGGAACGTTCCATTCATGTTTTCTTTTAATCTTTCGCAAATGTGCCTTAGCACGTATTTCATTAGGAGGAAGACAATCTGAACCATTCATGCTGAACAGATTAAAAGCGAACGAGACCGCTGTCAACTTGCATGTTTAAAAGCAAAGCAGCAGCAAACTGAGGCGCCGCTTTGGCTTGGCCAAGGGGCAGTACTCAGCTTACAAACTTTACCATCTTGACCTTGTAACGCGGATGCATGCTTGTTCGCTTGATCTCCAGATTGCTGGTCTAGACCACACATAGATGAATCATGAATGGGCAATATTTATAACTTTGCTAAGTCTGCCAACTACACCACCGGATATCCATCGTCCCAATGTCCTATATTTATACTCATCAGGGCACAGCTTTATGTTAGTGACTCCTTACTGTGCACCAAGTGTCCTTTCAGCCGTGTGTGTGGTGTGTGTGACACCAAGTTCTAGTAAAAACTCATTAGCATGCTAAGTTTTCTGAAATTTTACTGCCTGTAGTGTTACCATGTTTTGTTTTGGTTCACATCTGAGCAATTCTCTACCTGCTACCAACCATATATAGGAACAACGAAGAACATGTGCTTCCTCGAGCAAGTGGCGAGTATCTTTGGGAAGGACGATGGGATCATCGTTGTATGGTTACTGAACACATGATGAACCAATGATTAATCACAAAAATAGCAGTTCTAATTTTTTCCCCTCTCAACTCTGTTTCTATTTCTGAAAGAAGAAGAAGAAATTGTCACTTGTGTTTTCAGGGTTGTCAGAGTGGCAGGAGATCTCTCATGGCAGCATCTGAGCTCAGCTCTCCTGTAAGCATGATCATCTTATGATCCTCAGTATCATATCATGTCGCCAATCAGTTCTTGGCTTCCCTGTGATTCACGGTGGTTTTCTCTAAACTCAATGCAACCATTTTCAGGGTTTCACGACTGTGACCGATGTCGCCGGTGGATTCACTTCATGGAGGGAGAATGGACTGCCTATTACCCAGTAATGTTTGGCCCCCAAACCTGTCTGCTCTAGCTCCGGCTCTGCTCGTGGATCATAGATTATAGACTTCTTGGCTTTCAAATTAATGTATAATATACTCACATTGATTATAAATATATGACGCTTGGACAAATGAATCATTCCAAATTTGGGAATTGGGTTGCATGACTTACAAATTTCAAAATCATTATACTAATAGAACTACAAAATCGTTATATAGATTAGAAAACAAGTTACAAGACGGCGATGGGTGGAAAATTTTCGCCGTCTTGTAACTTGTTTTAGAATTAGGCACCAATCAAACACACCTTAGAATTAGGCACCAATCAAACATACCCTAACTTTAGAGTAATTAATAATTGTGCCTCATTTTAAGGAGTGCTTGATATATTGGTGCCTAACTTCTCCGACAACTAAAAAGAACAAAGCATGGACACTTTTTGGTGCGACATTCCAACGTGGGTCCATCGTCCTGCCTGCTGCATTCCCGCAGCCTTGCTCCAACGCGTGGCCGTCCCTTGCGACAAAAACATCGTTACGTCGGTCTGCCTGGCGTGCGACGCTCGCTCCCTCCCTTCCACTCCGCCAATCACGTGTTGCGACCATCTCCCTGCGCTCCCCCAATCACGCGCTGTGACCATCCATCAATCACGCCGCCGCACACGCCATCCCCATCCCTGCCCCCGCATCCGCTCCCTGAGCTCCCCATCCCTGCGACCATCCCTGAGCTCCCCATCCCCGCTCCCTGCGGCCGCGTACGCAGCTGCTCCCCATCCCCGCGGTCGCTCGCTCGCCCACGTACATCGCCGCTCGCCATCCTTGCTCCCTACGGCTGCGTACGCCGCCGCTACCCATCCCCGCTCCCTGCGGCCGCACACGCCGCCGCTCCCCGTCCCTGCACCCATGTCACCGCCACAACACCATCCCCATCGCTCCTCGCCCAGGTCCAAATCCCACGGCCTTCCTTGCTGCGGATCCCAGTGGAACTTAGCGGCGGTAGTGGAGGACGCACGTGGTGCGTGTTTTTTGGCCTCCATCTTGCTACGCTTCTCTAGGTCGGTGGTGAAGCGAAAGTGGCGCTTAGGGTTCTTGATGACGCTGCAGAAGCAGCGCCAGCGACGGAGCCTCCTTTGCATGAGTTCTTGGCCTGCAAGCCCCCGAACCACATCTCCAGGTAGCTCTCCATCCTCCTCTCTATCTTGCAGGTTCTCCAGGATTTATCTGCGCTACTATTGATTTTTCTGGATTATTGCATTGATCGATTGCATTCTTTCCAAGGGTATGCAGATGTGTCTTGTTTAAACATTTGTTGTTTAGGCATGAATTCAGAAACACACATGTTCAAATAAGTATGTCAGAAATTCAAGGATATGATATTCCTCCATACACAGTTGTGGCAATTTCATCCTTTTCCCCGATGTTACTTCATAGTGCAGATTGCATATGCAGGTCTTCTGATCCTCTTAAGTTCTTGTGCCATTATCTGAGAATTTTTGATCAATTAATGAATGCCACGCACCTTTTATGAACAAAGCTTCGGTTAAAGTTTCACATTTAATGACACAATGTATCATTTTCAGTCCTATGAAGGTTATAGCTGATTTTTTATTCATGATTGATCTCATGTGTGATAGATCTAATGCATTAGTTGTATAAAAATACTTTGATAAATATGCTCTAAAAGAGGCATTGTGTACAGTCAAAACTGATAATAAAAATACATGTATGCAGTTTACTCTGAGAGAGGAAGGTGGAGTTATCCTTTTAAAACTGTATACATTAAAAAAATTATGAGCATTAGCTGTCAGTGCTTAGGTTTCTTTGCCCTATGCAATTGTAAGGAATATATACAACTTTGGATTGCCTATAAAACACATTCTCTTTGGCATGTAACTTTAAGTGATTTTGCCTGGCATAGATAGATGTTCGGGTTTCAGTTATATCAATTTCATTGTATCATCTTAACCTTTTGACTCACGTCAATTGTATACATGAGCCTTGTAGCTCATGTTAGATTTTCTAATTTCAACAATCAGCTAGAGAGTGTAGAGCTGTTTAGAGTTCCATAATACAAAACATAGACTGAAACTTGGTACTGAACTTGTCAGTTTGCTTCCTAGCATGATGCGCTTTAGATGGTGCGGGGCTCATCCGCGTAAACGACATAAGGCGTCATTCCTACCTGTTATGTGGAAGATTGAATGACTGAAGCAAGTTGGTATTGTAAATTTGTGGAAAGAGTGAGAATTGCATGTCTTTAGTTCACTACCATAAAATGCCTAATAAAAGTATATTTTCAGTGAGCATTTTTAGTGAACAGATTTGGACCTGCACTTTTGTATTGACATTGCTTCTCTGAGTTTTTGTGAATGGCTAGATTCTACCATGAGCAACTTCTGTACCTATATAGTTTCATTCTACCATGAGCAACTTTGTGTGTTTAATTTTTTGAAAGTTCTGCATATATCTTGGAAGATCTCTTGACAAACTATCATGCTTAGTAGGCTCCGGGGTCCTCATGTTGTGTGCTCACTAAATGTTTGGGTGAGATTTGTATATAATTGAAGGAAAAGTCTCTCGTGCTACCGACACACAATTTTGGCAATTTATTCCTCACCATTAAGAAATCAGCCACACTTTATTTCTCCCTATATCTGGTGATTATTTTCCTTTGCAGTTAAGCGATATGGAATTTATATTTGGTGCAGAGTTGAGACGATCTCACTTTAAGATTTTTCGACTTCGCTATGCGATTGCAACAAGCTTGAAAGGTCATTGTGCGGATTTCTACGGTGCACTAAGTTTGTATTTTGTTATTATTTCTCTGGTGCACTAAGTTTGTATACAATGTAGGTACTTCTCTAGTCATAAATTCCTGAAATTTCGATCATCTTTGAATTACTAAGTCTCTCTACAACCCATTTGTTTCCCAGATAACTCAATAGTTTCAGTCTCTCTATTAACACTATAGGTTAACTTGCGGGTTTTCACTTACACTTTGGTTCTCTGTTCTCTACGGCCAGTGAGTTAGAAAAAAAATCGAAGGTGCATTTGACTAGGAAGGAGGTGCCTAATGAAGCTTACAGATTTGTCTCTGTTCTGAATATTAGCAATTTGCATGGATAAAAATAAAAATGGGATTTCAGTAATATGCATATGATTGCACATGTGCAAATCGGTCCTCGGCTCTCATTATTGAATTAATAATCTCCATTGCCATTGTTGTAGTTTTTTTTACCACAAGGACGTTACCCTTTTAAAATATTAATCATGTAGCTGTGTAGTATTTTAGTTTTTTTACCACAGTGAAGTTACCAGTAGGAGTGCGTCTCCGAGTTCATCTCCTTCGTCGCCAGAGCAAGTGAGTTCACACCTCCCAGAGCTACATGGATTGGTGATGGAGGCCAACCATCATCAAAACAAAGGATACCCATGTGTGGAAGACTAAAGGATTGATTATTAGAGTATCATGTATGTTAGTTGATTCTATACTTCATGGAGAATTTATCTCGAGCTGTAAGCTGAACACTGAAAGTTCAATCACTGATGACCTTAGGCCTTGCAAAGAGTTTCCTATATAACAATTGCATCGGTTCTGCATTTTCAAAGTTTTTTGAACTTCCTAGTGACCAGCAAAGAGTTTCTTGAATAATAGTTGCATTGGTTCTGCATTTTCAAAGTCTATCTACGTTTTTAGGTCTACACAGTAGAGTTTATGAGCTTGCGACGCCGTGCTTTCTGTGACTGTTAATTTCACAAAATTTATGTTTTGGATTAAATGTCACCTTAACGTCGGTTAATTTCACAATATTGTTATCTTATCGTGCGATCCGTGTGTTTTTAGTACAAAAGTTTAGCTGTCCCGTAGCAACGTACGGGCATGAACCTAGTCCAATAATGTTGACAGAATATTATCGGCAGTCCTCCGAGGGGTATCCCACGAAGGTAGATTGATCGGCAGAGAGGCGTGTAATCAAGAACAAGAAGGCAACAGAAACACACGAGTTAGACAGGTTCAGGCCGTCAGTATATGTAATACCCTAGTCCTGTGGTCTGTTGGATTGCACTAGTGTCAACACGGAAATTTTGTCCCATGCCGAGGGCACATGAGTAAGCCAGAAGGGTCTGCTCGATGGAGCTATAAATCCGCATGGCTTCAACGCAGGGATGGTCGATCCTACGTACTCCTCCCGAGACGTGCCAGTCAATTTGACCCTGCAATTGATAAGGAGGGAAAGCTAATCAGTAATTTAAGGCGGAACATGCCGGTGTTGCCAGACAGTCTCGAATGTGCGGCTCTGAGAGCCGATTTGAAAGGAGGTTGACTAAATAGTCGATTCCAGCATATTCATAAGAATAAATCAGTTAAAGCTCGTGGGGTTGTGTAAGAAAAATCGGTTATCATTCAAGATGAATATTGTTATTTAAACAATTATTAGTCAATGGTAATAAGATATCAACAATAATCAGTTTATGCTAAGCTAATGACTGCAAGTAACCGAATCTCTTTTATATAAAGAAGCAGCTCATCACCATTTAACCATTTAATAAAGATAAATCTAATGAACATATTAGATCTCATCTATCGCTATGACCAGTGGGGCATGAGGCAGAATCATGCAGGCCTTAGAAACAACAATAGATTTGACAACCCTAACTCATTACTAATATCCGTGGGGCATGAGGCAGAATAATGCAGGCCGTAATACAATAATAAGATCATGGGGCTAACACATCTTTCAACCTATCTTTACTTAACGGTCTCGTGACGCGAACTGTATATGTGAAAGCACTTGATATCGGCTAAAACAGCCGATTT